GAATGTGGTGGCGGCCAAGAAGCTTACACTGGATTTTAGCAGGGGATCAGGGAAATTCATGGAGGCCAAGTCTATCAGCAGCAGTTAGCCAGGAAGATTCAATGGCACCTCTTTGTTCAAAGGAAGTACACCCTTTAGTATTGGTTGCTAGGAGACAAACAGGAAGGAAGAATTCTTGCCTTTATGCCCTGCAATCGGGCTTCTGGCTGCATTTAGTTGGAAACAGGATTCTAGGTTAGGTGGACATTTGGTCTGTGCCAACAGGGTTATTATTTCTACCTTCTTAAAGTAGTAGTGGTAGTAATGATCATAATCAATTTCAATACAGTTTCCAATTAAAAAAAATAGTTATAGCATTATGGGCTCAAGCCACAACTGAAGGAAATACTACATCTGCAAGAATTATAGCTGATGAACTACCAGGATACAGAGCTAAAAACTGAACCTTAAAGACAACAACCCACAATTCTGCAAAAAATATTAAAAAATCCAGTTTCTCAATCTGAGAATCTTCCCTGTTTCATTGTTCTGCTCCATGCAAAATCTGAGCCACTACCTTGTTTTGAAACAATTTCAATGCAGCATCAATTTTAAAAGCTATCATTTGTACATTAAAACATGAATATGGCTCCAAAGGTTCTAGAGACTGAAAGCTTTATGAGATTTCTGAGAATATGCGTCCTTAAAATGATTTCCTCTATTTAAATTCATGGCACCGGTCATCTGCTTGCTCATCACTTGACCATCAGAGTTTCTGACGTTTCTTTCCAAAGACCATAGCCTTGGTCTTTGAGTAGTTAATCTTTACAATAGTCACCAAGCCTAGATAACTGCCTTTTTAGACATACACAAGTAATAGATAGAAGAACTATATCATATAAAAACAGAAGTAAAAAAAATAAAATACAGGGATAAATTGAAGAGGGAGAGAATTCCAGGCCAGACATCCTTGGCCTGATATTGTTAAGAAAAAGTTTGCATAGTGGAATAAGTTGTGTTTTGAATCTATTCAAAACTTGAATCGATTACTTTCTTTTCATGAGTATGACATTACAGCTGCTCTGGGAGTTTGAGTGTTGGCAGCAACCTTCCTAGGTGCGCACAGTCCATTTCTTCCAAAGCCCAAGGGCTGACTTTAAAAAGTTGAGGCCACACCCCTGGGAGTCATTTTGGACTCGCAGCTGTCCATGAAGGTGCAGGTCAATTCTGTGTCCAGGGCAGCTGTTTACCAGCTCCATCTGGTATGCAGGCTGAGACCCTATCTGCCCGCAGACTGTCTCGCCAGAGTGGTGCATGCTCTAGTTATCTCCTGCTTGGACTATGGCAATGCGCTCCATGTGGGGCTACCTTTGAAGGTGACCTGGAAACTACAACTAATCCAGAATGTGGCAGCTAGTAGTGATGTATGGAAGTGAGAGCTGGACCATAAAGAAGGCTGATCGCCGAAGAATTGATGCTTTTGAATTATGGTGCTGGAGGAGACTCTTGAGAGTCCCATGGACTGCAAGAAGATCAAACCTATCCATTCTGAAGGAAATCAGCCCTGAGTGCTCACTGGAAGGACAGATCCTGAAGCTGGAGCTCCAGTACTTTGGCCATCTCATGAGAAGAGATGACTCCCTGGAAAAGACCCTGATGTTGGGCAAGATGGAGGGCACAAGGAGAAGGGGACGACAGAGGACGAGATGGTTGGATAGCGTTCTCGAAGGTATCACATTGAGTTTGACAAAACTGCGGGAGGTAGTGGAAGACAGGAGTGCCTGGCGTGCTCTGGTCCATGGGGTCATGAAGAGTCGGACATGACTAAATGACCAAACAACAACACACATGGCTGCGGTTTGTTTAAACAACCCAAACACATAAATGGGGCCGATTCAGCTGGTCCCTACTGATGCGGCTGAATCATTAAAAAGTTTTTTCAGAAGAACAGGAGTTGTTCACAGAGACACATTCCTATGCAGCTAAGGAAAAGGCTTTCTGAAAGAACAGCTAGCTATATGAATAGCTTTATAAAATACAAATTTATAAAGCCTGCCATCCAGAAGCTCAGTGTCAGGATCTCCCGGGAGTAGAACCAGTAACCATCTGATTCATAGACTAGTACCTAACATGGTGAGCTACCAGGGCTCCACAATGAATGATTTCCTAGGGGCTTAAGTGTCCCTAGGTTCTGGAATGTCTCTGCCTGCCCAGGCCAGCCATTGGCTCCCCTTGACCTGGAAGAACAATGAAAGCTTCCAGGTCAGGTTGGAACTTTGCCAAGGCAACAACAGACCTCCCTGTGCCTTCCCTTGGTGCCCAATTACATCCCAGCCATTACATGCAAATTTGGCCCCAGGAAAAGCTGTTCGGTGACCTGTATATATTAAGCGGGCATCTATTTTTGATTGACATCTAATGCCCTTTTAAAATGTGCTGGGGAGGAGGGGATTATTAGTTCATTCTTGTTTTTATTTTTAATATGTATTTTGTCTTTTTATATTGGGATTTTATGTTGTGAACCACCCTGAGACCCATGGGTTTAGGGAGGTATACACATTTAATAAATAATAACAATAATTTTTGGGTATTCCATTGCTGTACATGGGACTAGGCTCATCCCTTAGCTATTGGGATGCCTCTTCAGGATTTTAATAGTTCATGTATTGTGTTCACAATTCATTGATGGGTTTAGGGAGAGAGCATGTCTGGATCCCAAGCCTGCAGGACTTTAAGGTAGGCAGAAGACTTTGAAGCAGGCCTGGAAGCAGACTGGGAACCACTGAGAACTGCCTCAAAAGAAAAATGGAATCATGCTGTGTTTCTACATGAATTACCTCTTTGGGCATCACCTGGCAGAAAGCAAGCAAGTCCAGAGCTATGACTTGTGCAGAGAGACACGAGGGGCAGCCTCCTCTAAGTACATGCCATGTTGCCATACCTCTGAACTCCAGAATAAGGGAGTTCTCCAATGAAACCCAATGAAGAGGTGCAGCAGGACAACCCCATCAGTGGGATAGCTCTGTTGGTTAGAACATGGTGCTGATAATGCCAAGGTTGAAGGTTCGATCCCCATAAGGGACAGCTACATATTCCTGTATTGAAGGAATACAGGAATACTTCTATGTCCATGGAAGTGCAGGTTAATTCTGCATTCAAGGCAGCTGTCCACCAGCACCATCTGGTACACCGGCTGAAACCCTACCTGCCTGTACACTGTCTCGCCAGAGTGGTACATGCTCTAGTTTTCTCCCGCTTGGACTACTGCAATGTGTTCTACATGGGGCTATCTTTGAAGGTGACTCAGAAACTACAAATAATCCAGAATGAGGTAGCTTGACTGGTGACTAGGAGCAGCCACCAAAACCATATAACACCAGTCCTAAAAGATCTACACTGGTTCCCAGTATGTTTCCAAGCACAATTCAAAGTGCTTGTGCTGATCTTTAAAGCCCTAAACAGCCTCGGTCCTGTATACCTGAAGGAGGACCACCCTTGTCATTTAGCCCCAGATACTGAGGTCCAGCTCCAAGGGCCTTCTGTTGGTTCCCTCATTGCAAGAAGCGATACTACAGGGAACCAGGCAGAGGACTTTCTTGGTAGTGGCACCTGCTCTGTGGAACGCACACCTGTTAGGTGTCAAGGAAATAAGCAACTACCTTATTTTTTGCTTTATAAGACGCACTTTCCCCCTCCTTAAAAGTAAGGGGAAATGTGTGTGCGTCTTATGGAGCGAATGCAGGCTGCGCAGCTTTCGCTGAAGCCAGGAGAGCAAGAGGGATTGGTGCACACCGATCCTTCTTGCTCTCCTGGATTCAGGGATAGCCGCCCGAAGCCTCCTGAGTGCAGTGGGAGCGTTGCTTTCTCTTGCTCTCCTGACTTTGCTTCGCTTGAGAGCCATTGCGCAGCTTTTCATCTCTGCACAGCGCCCTGGAAAGGTGCTGCGCAGAGAGAGAGAGCTGCACAGCGCCCCTTCAGCGAAGTGGGAGGAGAAATGGAAGGGGCTCCGTTTCTCCTGCCGCTTCGCTGAAGGGGCGCTGTGCAGCTTTCCCTCTCTGCACTGCGCCTCTTCAGCGCTTTGCTGGAGAGGTGCTGAGCAGAGCGGGAGAGAACATTTTTTTTTCTTGTTCTCTTCCTCTAAAACTAGGTGTGTCTTATGGTCAGGTGCGTCTTATAGAGCGAAAAAATACTGTGTTTGACTTTTATAAGACATCTGAAGGCAGCCCTGTTCAAGGAAGTTTTTAATGTTTGACAGACTATTGTACAGTGGTACCTCGCAAGACGAATGCCTTGCAAGACAAAAAACTCGCTAGACGAAAGGGTTTTTTGCTTTTTGAGCTGCTTCGCAAGACGATTTTCCCTATGGGCTTGCTTCGCAAGACGGAAACGTCTTGCAAGTTTGTTTCCTTTTTCTTAACACCGTTAATACAGTTGCGACTTGACTTCGAGGAGCAACTCATAGAACGCGGTGTGGTAGCCTTTTTTGAGGTTTTTAAAGACTTTGGTGATTTTTGAAGCTTTTCCAAAACTTTCCCGACACCGTGCTTCGCAAGACGAAAAAAATCGCAAGACCGACAAAACTCGTGGAACGAATTAATTTCGTCTTGCGAGGCACCACTCTATTTCAATATTTTGTTGGAAGTCGCCCAGAGTGGGCGGGGTATAAATAAATTGATGATGATGATGATGATGATGATGATGTTCCCAGTGTCAAACATTTAGGGCCAGGAGCGTTCAGTAACATATACAGCAAGGGTGTTTGCTGTTGATAACCACCTCACCTGGATCTCACCCTTCACAACACACTCCATTTGCACAAAGCATCTGTTGCAGCTGTGATAAGGATGCTGAGAATTCCAAATAAACATCGAATCACAGTTCAAGGACCTTGCATTCCCTTACTATAACTATTGTACTGTGTCTCCCCAGATCCCATTCCTCCACCCTGACGACGCCAGCAGGACATCCTCATTATATGACAAGAACACAAAGCTGCATCGGAGCCCCCAATACATGCTCACCAGGCAGTTCATGATTTCCACTCCATTTGGGTTCACAGTCAGTGCCTCGTCATACAGTTGCTTAGCCTCCTCCAAGCTGCTGTTCATCTCCGCCAGCCTCCCCCGCATGTACAGCACACTGTGAGATGTGGGGAAGAGACTGGCCGCCTCCTGGATACAGAAGCCTGCTTCTTTGAGGTGCTGCTGCTCCATGAAGAGTTCGGCTACAAAACAAAGACGAAACAAGGCAAAGCGGTGCATTTAAATGGGTGTCCCCTGGCTTCCTCCTGGAGAGCTGAAACATCGACAATGCTAATTAAGGACGAGACATTAGCCTCATGAGAAACGACCCCGCTTATGACGTGTCAATTTTGAAAAGGTGTGCTTCCTGGCATTTGTGTATTTTACGGACTCATGAACTTGCTCACCGGCCACACAATCAGTCTCCTGGGTTGGTTCATAAATGAGAAGAAAACTGGATATTGAAGAAGCATGTCATAAACCTGGTGGATTTGCTGCTTCTGGGTTTGTGTGTGTGTGTCTTTGCAGCTTTGTTGTGGTTTGGTGCAGCCCTTAGTTTAGCTGCCCCCCCCAAAATTAAGTAAGTATTAAAGGGAATCTCTTTTTCTTTTCCTTTTGTTCGCAGGCATGGGTCTTCCCCAGTCACCTGGGAAATAACAGTAATTTCTTTAGTGCCTCAAAGAAAACAAAGCACTGTTAAAATGTAGAATTAGCATCGACAACATCCCGCCTGCAGATTTACAGCTTAAACAAACGGATATGTGAGGAAAAAGAAGGGAGTGGGTAATAGAAGAAGGTGGGGAAAAAAGAGGCAGTGCCTAAGAGCATAAGAAAAGCAGCCACTGGGTAAGGCCAAAGACCAGGCACCCCCAAACTTTGGGACTACAACTCCCATCATCCCTAGCTAACAGGACTAGTGGTCAGGGATGATGGGAATTGTAGTTCCAAAAACATCTGGCAGGCCAAGTTTGCCTATGCCTGGCCTACTGGTGCAGGTAGAACACAGTCATTGTGTAAAATACAGCAAATAAGAGGGAGGACCCTGTTTCGTTGGAGATGAGCTTAGGTGTCTAGGCGTGAAAAGCAAACACTTTGCCACTGAGCTATAAGCCTTGCTCTAATGGTCGGGTTGAAGAAGCTACAGAACCTATTTTGCGAACAGAATGCAGAGTCAAGGTGAAAGCAAGTTCTCATGCACGTTGCTACAGAGCAGGGAAGTGCACAATTATCACAAAGTTTGAAAGAAGCAGGCTCTGCAAAATGGGTGGTATGCGCTATTAATACTTGGAACTTTTCACAGGCTCATAGTCCTGACAATTCAGTAAAACGGATCACTGTCAAATCTGGAGGCAGGCAGTTAAGCTCCCATCCCCAACAAGGAAATATCTGTAACATCAACACACTTGTGCACAAACACTTCCAAGGCAGATCGGCTGAATTCTGACTGACATGCTTTGAAGCTTATTTTACATTCTGAGGTGGTGAAGAGCTTTTGGCTCCTTCTCCCCCTGAATTGTTTCCATTCAATATGGCTATTATGAGAACCTTGTGATTTTAAGTAAACTAGTGTCTGAAGTTGCTTGCTTTCCTTTTCCCTCCTCATCGGTTTAACCTTTTGTGCCATGCCTTTTAGATTGTAAGCCTGAGGTGGAGGGACTGCCTTGCCTTGTTTGTTATCAACCTCATATAAGCCATTCCGGGAGCCTTTTTATAGCTGAAGAACAGCTTTAAAATGCTTTAGATTAATAAACTTTCCCTGCACTTTGCTGAAAAAAGTTTTGTTTAGCTGGGTATCGAGAAAACCAGCACACCAGAGACGACAGTTATAAGTTATTTTAAAAGCATTAACAGAGTCTATTATTCATGACTATTTTAACTCACGTGCACACAGAACAGAGGGAGATCCATTTGAAAAAAGGAAAAAATGGACTAATAAAAATGAGGTCGTTCGACTGTTTACTTTGCTCAACAAGAAGTAATTGTTCTGTTACTTTTTCACAATGAGAAATATTGAAGGAGAATACTAATGCAACCCACTGACATTATCAATCGATTTTTGTTAATGTGAACACTAAGATTTATTATGCCCTACGTGCAAATGTTATTAAGTCTTGACAAAACCTTCAGAAAAAATATGTTTTGTTTTTATTGAACCATCTCACTAAAATTGAAATATTTGACACTGAAAGAAATGCAGTAATTCTTGTTTATGGCTATGGGGAAACACATTTTTTTAAACAAAAATAATTATGATTATTCCATTGCCTGGCAGATCTACTTTTAGGTAGCAGATAGAATGCTAATGCATGAATTGGACGCCATTTGTATTGCCGCTGTATTAGTAGCAAGAGACAGGACAAAAAAAGTATTTTACATTCCTAAGAATGTGATATGATAAACATTTGTCTGGGAGTAAGTCCTATTGAACTCCTTTTGAGCAGACCTGAACAGGACTGTACTGAAGTGTCGCCTTAAACTAGGGGAAAGGTGCAGGCCTTTGACGAATTTCTTCATGTGTGGGGCGGCAAATTAAGAGGACTTTTTCTCAGGCTATTCTGCACCTATGGCGTTTCTGCAATATGAAATGAAAAAAGAAATGATTTAAATAAACAATGAGATAGATGGCTTTTCCTTCCAAGTTCATCAGTAAGAAGAGCCAGGGCATGGGGACCTAAGGTTGCTTATTTTAATTTGAAGGCTTATACCCCACCTCTCAATCAAATGGTTCCCAAGACAGTTTATAAGCAATTGGGAAGAACACCAACCCATACCCCATACTCCCAAAGCCACCTCATCCCAAACCCCTTAGTTCTTTGACGGATGGGTGGGAACTTGAGTTTACTGACTTCCAACTCTCTACTCCAAGGGCAACTGGTACTTAAAGTCTACTTTTTCTGGCAGGGATGGGGAAGCAAACTCCTGGCAGCTACTCCTTCTAAGGCCAGAGGATAGAGCTAGGTTGGTCTTCCCTTTGTCATGATGTTGTTCTGGGAAGGCAGGGGTTCTCCACTGGTCCTTGGTCGCCTGGCCAACGGCTAATGGCAGGCACCAGAGCTTGCTTTCAGTTCAGTGGTCTTAAAGGACCCCTGACCATTAGGTCCAGTCATGGCCGACTCTGGGGTTGGGGCGCTCATCTCGCTTTATTGGCCGAGGGAGCCGGCGTACAGCTCATGTGGCCAGCATGACTAAGCCACTTCTGGTGAACCAGAGCAGCGCACGGAAACGCCGTTTACCTTCCCGCCGGAGCGGTACCTATTTATCTACTTGCACTTTGACATGCGTTCGAACTGCTAGGTTGGCAGGAGCAGGGACTGAGCAACGGGAGCTCACCCCGTCGCGGGGATTCGAACTGCCGACCTTCTGATCGGCAAGTCCTAGGCTCTGTGGTTTAACCCATAGCGCCACCCGCGTCCCTTATTCAGCGGTCTTGGGGAACTGGCAAAAGCTAAGAATCACCAGCCAGGGTCCAGAGGCTCATAAAAGTCTGAAGTGCCAATAAGAATTACCATTCAGGTTCGGTCTCAGCCTAAACAGAAGATGCCTCTAGTTCTTTTTGGTGAATTCACTTATTGGGAGCCCACGGCTTATGTACGTGGGCCCAGGATATTTTTGTCAGCACAGGAAAAGCTCTAAGGTGAAGTACCTTAGGTCTGAAGCTGAATGTGGCCCTCCAATCCTCTCTCTCTGGCCCTCAAAAGTCTCCTCAGGCTGCACTCCTCACTGGCCCTTCTTTGTGCCCCAAGTGTTTTCGTCTGGCTGGAATGTGCTCCTTAACTCTTGATAACGCCTCTTGCTTCTCTGGGTAGAGTATAAAGAGAGATGTGGGCTTGAGAAAAAGCACCCAAAAGGGCACTGGGAAGTTACATTGCACTTTCTCTGGTTTCCTTTAGGGCAACTGGCCAGGTTTGAAATCCTCATTGCCCCCCCTTCTTTTGCAAGCAATGCCACTGTCACCTTATTTTCAGCTCTAGCCCTCTGACTCTTTTCAGCCGTGCAATGCGTGAGCCAATCAGCCTCCCAAATGTTATTAAATCCTGTCAAAGAACACCAGGAGTCTTCACATGGGGTGCACATCACAACAACCACTAGCGGAAGAATCTTTTTTTTATTAAAGCCCTAAATCTTGGTGTACTTGCTCATGCTTGCCATGTTCTTAAAGGACGTACAGTGGTGCCTCGCAAGACGAAATTAATCCGTTCCACGAGTCTCTTCGTCTTGCGGCTTTTTCGTCTTGCGAAGCACGGCTATTAGCGGCTTAGCGGCTATTAACGGCTTAGCGGCTTAGCAGCTTTAAGAAAAAGGAAACAAACTCGCAAGAACTCGCAAGACGTTTCGTCTTGCGAAGCAAGCCCTTAGGGAAATTCGTCTTGCGGAACGACTCAAAAAACGGAAAACCCTTTCGTCTAGTGAGTTTTTCGTCTTGCGAGGCATTCGTCTTGCGGGGCACCACTGTAACCTTACCTCTAGGTACATGAAAACAACCGGCTGTGCTTCTTGTGGAACGAAGTAAGAGAGGAAACGCAAAACTATTTTGAGTAAACAACATTACATTTGCTAGTAGTGCTAGGAAGTAACAGAAGGCTGATCCATACAGCTGTTTGAAGGAGCTTCTCGACCCCCATCGTTCTACCCAGACACTGAGGTCCAGCTCCGAGGGCCTTCTGGCGGTTCCCTCACTGCACGAAGCCAAGTTACGGGGAACCAGGCAGAGGGCCTTCTCGGTAGTGGCACCCGCCCTGTGGAACACCCTCCCACCAGATGTCAAAGAGAACAACAACTACTAGACTTTTAGAAGACATCTGAAGGCAGTCCTGTTTAGGGAAGCTTTTAATGTTTGATGCATTATTGCATTTTAATATTTTGTTGGAAGCCGCCCAGAGTGGCTGGGAAAGCCCAGCCAGCTGGGTGGGGCATAAATAAATAATAATAATAATAATAATAATAATAATTATTATTATTATTATTATTATTTGCAATGCAGAAAAGAGACCACATGTTTTCACTCGGCGTCAACCATTTTGGAAGTATGGGAGTCATCAGCTGCAAGCTGGGCTTTTACTTGTCTTGGCTAGCAACATTCAGGTCCATGGCTGGCTGGGGTAGTTGGTGCTTCGCTTGGTGAACGCACAATGCCTGATTATCTCAAATCTAATGCTTATTAAAATAACAATAATAATCAGGGCTGTATTCAAGTATGTTTGAG